GCCCCCGAAAACCAGCCGATTTTCCACTCGGCTCGTTCGCGAAAACAAGTCGGCCGATAACGAAACGGTCGATCGCGAGACTCGGATAAGATTGTCCGAAAGATGGGCCTATCCGATCGTTATCGGCGAGGAATCTCGAGCGTCTCGCGGCCGTCGAAGTAGAAAAGAAACTCGGTTAATCCTCGGTAAATAGATTCGGTAAATACAGGGTAAATACTCGCGGCAAATAGTGGATAAATCGGAAGACTCGACGGACGAGCGGCAACGTACGGAATAGCATTTTGTAACGATTAATACGGTTAATCGGTAAGGACGCGCGAAACTTTGGAAGAGGAGAGCAAGGGCTAGGGACGAGGAGAGAAGGGTCGAGGTAAAGAGAGAGAGAGAGAGAAGCGGGCAGCGGCGACGGCCGACGACGGGAGAGCGAAAAACGAAGAAAGAAGAAAGAGGAAAGAAGAAAGAAAAAGCAAAGAGAGCAACGGACAAGCTTTCAGGGTTAAAGAGGGACAAAAGAACGGCTGCGTCGTGACTGGCTGGAAAGGCAGCGTGTTTACGCGAGATAGTGGGGGTACTCGGTGGCTCAGCTGAGCGTAGTATAGAGGTAGAAGGTTGACGAGAGGGAGAGCTAGTTGCGAATGAGCGCTCGTCGGGCGTGCGTCGTTACGGCGTCGATCGATAATGTCGTCTCGTGATCGACGAGGAACCGTCGAATCTTGAGAAGACCGATACGATAGAATATTATCGCGTACGGGTTTTCCGATTAAGCACGCCCGCGTATATACCGTGTTCGCGATTCGATAGTTCGATCGCGTACGCGCAGTGCAAAGTGCGAGCGTCCCGCGAGCGTTCGTTCGAAAGTAATCGCTTCGACGGAGAAGCGTTTCTTTCGCCGTTCGTCGTTCGCCTCTCGTCTCTTGCCGATCGATCGAACAAAACGCGTGCGTGCATCTCGCCGAAAGACAGCGTCGCGTGCTCGCCAGTTCGCGTCCAGCTTGTTAGTAGCGTCGGGTATCGCGATCGCGAAGATCGTCGCTCGTCGCGGTGCTCGTTCTCCTCGTCGTCTCCTTCGATCGTTCGTCTCGGCGTCGCTCCTTTCGACCGGACGAGGAGAAGAAGGAGGAGCGAAATACGAGGAGCCGAAGAGTCCTGGTAAACGAGAAGAAAGAAGAATACGCCGCCGAAAGGAAGGATACTCGATACGTTGTTGCTCGTCGACGAGTCGAAGCTCGCGAAGCTCGCGAGTTGTCCAAGTGCAGTGCGATCGCCGGATTAAAAGTGAAGTGACGAGAAAAATTGAAACGACTGGCCCGAAAATGGTGCCACAACAGCAAGACAGCCCGTCTAGCTCGGGAATTCCCATGTTTGGATCGTTGCTCGTGGATAAAAATTCAGCGACGCCGTACTCTGATGCCACGCAGGTAATATTTTTTAACGGCCCAACGTATTTTTACCGTAGCTGTCTCGCCTCGAATATCGCGAATCGAACGCGTTCCGTCTGTTTTTGTTTTTGTTTCGGTTTCGCTTTCGCTCTCGGTTTCTTTCCTTTTCTTTTCCTCTTCCCCTTCGTTTCCTTTCCTTTCGTATCGTTTCACGCTACGTCGAATCATCGACGCGTACGCAAGTACGCGTATCGCATTAACCAATTTGTTTTCGACGCTGATAAAAAATATCGTGCGATATTCCGGTTCGATTCGCGTTCGGTTCAAAATACGCTGCAATTCCGTGGACGCTGATTCGACGTCGAGCACGTTTCGTACGAGTTTAACTGACTCGTGATACGGAGGATTTTCATCGGATTTTATCGTGGACCTTTTGAAAGCGTTCGAAAGGACACTCTGCTCTAGTCGAGGCCGCGCAAGCGTTCGAAACGACGCGCCGACGATCGTCGTAAAAATATTTGCACGTGCGCCACGCGCGATGCTCGGAATCACCGTCCGTCGCACCGAACGTCGCTGTTTTAACGTTTAACTCGTGAAACGACGCGACGGTCGTTTCTCCCGATAACGCTCTTTCTCTCTCCCGCTCGAGAGTCGATCGCGCTCGTTTATTTTCACGGCGAAGAAACACCCGTGAAACAACGAATCGGTTATTTTCGTCGTTCGTTCGTTATTCTTGGATCGCACCGAGTTTCGTTTACGTTCTTCACGGATTTTGCTATTGTTTTTTTCTAACGCTTTCATTTTTTCCCATTATTTCTCGCGTATTTTTTTTCTCGTCTCGTTGCAAGCGTGGCCAGCTGGGTCCTCTCTTCGAGATTCCGTCTCGACTCGACTTTGAAGTTACGCCGACGCGATCGTTCATACGCTTCTTCGATCGATAAAATCGTCAACGATTCGATCTGTTGACGCTTACGAACTCGAATTCGAGGAAACTGGCGAGACAGTAACGAACTAGGCGAGAAAGACTGAACGTCGCTTTAAGTATTAAACGGCTAAAGCGACGAACATGTTACGGTCGCGTGCAAAATCTTTTATTTTCAAAGACATTACTCGATTTGTATCGGAAACGAGTCTATCGTTACGATTCGCGAACGCTAGATAACTAGATGGACAATTTGCTCGTGAAAAGTACAAATTTTTGTTGTTCGCTGATCGAACGTCTTTTTTATTTCATAAAGCGTCGTTGAACTCGCTTCCGCCGTTTCGATCGATTGGACGATGATTTAAAATCCGTTGCCGAAAATAACGAGCGTCGAACGGTCGAAGCGGAGAGAGAGGAGTTCGCGCGAAAACGGTCGATCGCGCGAGGAAAAGCGATTCTCGATCGTATCGCGATCGTCCGCGATACGCTGCGCTGGTTTCGCGTTCGGACCAGATTACGAATCGCGTCGGATTTTCTATTAGAAACACGGAGGAACGATTCGGACGTTTCGATCGGTGGACGCGATCGGTGATTCCGTTGTCGGTGTGTGCAGCGGTCGTTGGCGTACCTCGCAGTCGGCGTCGTCGCGCCTCGCTAACCTACATATCCAGCCTTTCGATTTCCACTCGGATGCGCGTCGACCGATCGACGATATCTAAAAGTATAATGGGCAGAACGCGCGCATGGTACGCGTTATCCGCGCTCCCACGGACTCGCCGGCCTGTAATAAGAACCGCGCGATTGTTCCGAACGAACGCGAACGATTTCGATTTCGTACGCGTGTCCTCTCGCTCTTTCTTTCTATATACGCAACGTCGCCTCTCGCGTCGAGACGAAAGGCGATACGATCACGATGGAAAGAACGGGACGCGCTGGAACGAACGGGATGATTGGATTTTCTGATTATTCTGTTTCAGACGAAGAAGAACAATCCGAATCATATAAAGAGACCGATGAACGCGTTCATGGTTTGGTCGCAGATAGAACGGAGAAAAATTTGCGAGATTCAGCCGGACATGCACAACGCGGAGATCAGTAAGCGATTGGGTAGACGGTGGAAGACGTTGGACGAGGCGGAAAGGCGACCGTTCATCGAGGAAGCCGAGAGACTCAGACAGTTGCATATGATGGAATATCCCGACTACAAATATCGACCGAGGAAAAAGACGTCGAAACCGACAGCGTCGGTCGCTACGAAGACGAAGGAAGGCGCCAAGAAGTCGAGGAAGTCGTTGGCGTCGTCCTCGTCGTCGATCGCGTGCATCGGTACGTCGAGAGGCCACGCGCGAAACGACAGCAACAACAACGTGCCGACAAACGGTAGCGTCGGTGCTACGGTCAAGAGATTACAGACGCACGCGACCGCTGGCAAACCGATGTCGCGTTTGAAAGTCAGATTGGCGCTCGACAAACGATCTTCGCTCGATTACACACCCGCGCCACCGATCGTCACCGCCAAGATACCGAGCAGTCCATCCTGCGTCACGCCCGATTCTCCGGAATCGGCCAGTTTCTACGAGGACAATTTCCTCGACTGCGCCTCGTCCGCTCGTCTGGGCGCGACCTCCGCCTCGAGCAGCAGCCTCGTCGCGTCCAAAGGGACCGGCAAGATCGACCGCGAGGCCAACCTGGATATGGACTACGAGACCGCGTTCGAACCGAAGGATCGATTGTTGTCCTCGGTCGGTCCCGTTTCTTCCAACGTCACCGCCGCTTCCTCCGTTACCTTCCCGGCATCCGTCGAGGACATCGACGGACTCATCACCGACAGGAGTTATCGCTCGCAAACGCCCAGCCACCGTTCCAACTTCCTGGTGAAGGAGGAACCGATCGAGACCATGGAGACGGACGCGGAAGTCGAAACGACCAGCAGGACAAGGACGATGTCGTCGCCGGCTGCGTTGCACGTACCGCAACGAACGTCCCCGCCGTCCTCGCTGACCACTGCCAGGACCACGATCCCTGCCCTCTCGTCCTCCTCCGTGTCCGCCTCCGATTTGAGCATGTCGACGAACGCGGCGACCAGGACGATCGAGGACGGCGGCGCCGTGCTCGAAGAAACCGGTCTCGCCGACGCGACCGCCGCCGCCACGGTGGTCAAACTCGAGGAACCGACAAACAATCCCAGCCTGGCCGACCTTTACTCGTTGACGGACCTCTTGCAGATACAACCGTCCGATTTCAAGATCGATCTGGACATGGAGACGATCACCACCGATCTGGATACCTTCGAAACTGCCAGTTCAAGCAGCGGCTCGCATTTCGAGTTCTCCTGCACGCCCGACGTTACGGACATGTTGTCTACCATCGGCGTCGGCAACGACTGGGTCAGCTTCTGAAACGGAACGAGGCCCTGGTTTCGCTTTTCCGCTTTGTCGCGCGATCGCCCTCGGAGAAATCCTGTCCGACCCTTTTTGTACATGTACTGTAGTATATTAGATATAAGGTATTTTTTTACTCTGTACGGCATCGTTAACCGACGAACGTAGTACGTAGTCGTCGTCGCGATCTTTCGATTCGTTTGTTCGCCGCGACGAACCTCGGAACCAACGTTTTGATCTCACGTTTCTTCGTCTTTACCTTCGCAACGACGTCCCACTCGTTCGTGGCTCGTTACGGCTGATCCACGCGACCGCTTTTCTATCTTTCTCGCGGTACCCGTACTTTCGACGTTCGAACAAACGTTATTCGATCTTTCGAACGCGCGCTCGTCCAAACGACGGGCTTCACGATATCGAGCACACTGCCAACTGAACTCGTATCTACGCGTCATTCTATCGTCATTCTCTTTCCTTCGCTATCTCTCTCTCTCTTTTTTACTCGTTCTCGTTGGCTCTTTCATATTTAATTTCAACCGGACGCGATTCGGATCGTTCGATTCTTCCTTCGACTAACTCGCTCAAAAAGATAATAATGTCCGCACGTACGAAGGAAAGAAAAAACTTTGAAGCGAACGGAGCGAACTCGAACGTCGAGAACCAAAGTAGAAAACGGACTTTTGCGCCTGTTGTCTTTTCGACTGCCGATTATTCGCGTTCTCTCTTCCCTTTTCCAACGATTTAATAGGCTGTGAATATTCTAAATCTAAAGATATCCGACAACCGATCGAATCCGATTTCATCGTCGCTAATCGTCGAACGATTCGATCCATTGGACGACTAGCGACGTCGACGAAAATCTGGTTTTTGCTCGTCGCGATTCGAGTCGAACAGAATCGAATCGCTTCCGTTTGGATCGAAGGGAAGTCGCGCGCGATAACTACCCCGAGGGTGATGATTTTTCCGCCACGCGACGTTATCGTTTTCGCTGCTCTCGGAACGCGTCCGGGAACGGAGCAGGACATAGGATAGCGAAGGGGATCAAGAAAAATGGAGAGGGAAGAGGAATAAGAAAAATGTGACGAGCAGAGAAATCGGTACGTTTCTACTCCGTTACCCGTAACTATATAGAAATATAAAGGAACACACCAAAGTGCAATATTACCCGTATGTATATCTGTCCGTAAACTCGCCAACGGCGAACGAAAGACGACGGTCGTTCTCGAATATAGAAAGGGCGCAGGAGATTAAGAAACGATCGGTTTCATTTTTTCGAGCGTACGCAAGTTTGCGAAAAATGCCAACGAAAGCGCGTTAAGCAATATCTTCCCGCGAATACGGTTATCGGAGATCGTAGCGGTCGTCGCGTTCGAGGCGTTTGCTCGAAATCGAGGAACGCGACGATTTCCCTCTTCTTATATGTATACAGGTACGTATATGTATCGCCCTACTCGTTGTTTCGAGTTTCCGTCGCTTCCGTGATTCTCGTCCCGTTACCTTGGATCGTTCGATCTCGTCGCGCGCGAGAAGAATATGCTCGAAATCGCGTTCGTTCTCGTTCGCGCGCGTCGATACGCGAACACCGCGCGTATTCCGAGTAATTTCACGCGTCTGATTCTCGTGAAAAAATCGGGAAACGCCTCGAGCGTGTGCAGCGTTTAACGCGCGCGCGATCGAAAGATCACGCGTCCGAGCCGTGCGTCTGGTAGTTTTAAGTTCTCATTGTACCACGATAGCGAGATTAGTCGCATCGACGACTAACTTTATACGCGTAACGACTGTACATTTGTATTTAGCCCTTTGTTTATACGATGATACTTATTACATTGTTACTAAGTATTCGATTTATATAATTTTTTTTATCGAACTTATTAAAAAATATTTGAAAAACGATACGAAGCTTCTCCTTTCAATACCAACACTTCGGTGAAATTTCCTTCGGATTCCCTCGATACGTTTTTCCCAGGAGTTATTGGGGGTCTGGGAACACGTGACGCGCGCATGTCGACCACGTCGGGCAGCTGGTGTTATTGCGCGCGGTGACGGTGCTGGTAGAGCGGTGGTTCGAACGCTCTCGGTGAACGTACGGGGACGGATGGACGAACGAACCGCTGGTTCAGCCACGACATTTCGTTCCCTTCCGAGTTCTCTCGCGCGGTAGCTATCGAGTTTTCCTTTCGCGAGCGATCTCGCGATGAACCGCCTGCGTCAACGATAATAACGCGCAGTAAAGCTATTAATAGCTTTCGACGCGAACGAACGGTACCGAGCAAACGTTGCCGCTTTCGCGATCATCGCTCCAATCTTTTTCTTCGTTTTCCGACGCGTACTCTGTTTTTTCCTGTACGCGCGTGCGTATTTCGTCTCCTCGATCGGATCGATTCCGGTTCGAGCGCCTCCGACGAAAACTCGTTTACGGTTAGCGAACCGATCGAACTCGAATCGAACGAAGAAGAAAAACGTTCGATGTTCGCCCTAAACGGTTATCGGTCGTAACGCGAACGCGGTATCGAGTATCGATCGATCGAAGGCGCGTACGCGGAGCGACTCGGAGAGCGAGTCGAACGAAGCGAGTTCCGTTGTAAAATAATCGTTCAAGGTCTACGGTGGCGTTGCACCCACTCGTTCGAGAGAGCAGGCTTGCCAACGAAATACTGTTCGTTCGTTTACGTCCGCGCGCACCGCATCCTCTTTGCCACTCTCCGCGTCTGTTTTCCCCTTTCCGTTTTCTCGGTAACGATCGAAAACCCGTTCGACACGCGCGGAACAACGCGGAAATCGTTCGAACGATAAAACGCGCGGATTCTCTTCGATCGATTTGGTGAGGCCCGCGCGAAGGAAAGAGGTCGGAAAAATGGTTAGCGCGGGATCGGCTAATCGGCGAATCGGACGGACAGCGGGAAGAGGAACGAACGGAGACGGTCGGAGGCCGCGAGCGAGCAAGTTGCGCCGCGAGTCGAGGATGCTGGTGGCTGCATACCGCGAGGTACGGTATATATGTAGCTATCGAGGTCAATGGTTAGTCCAAGGTCCCGAGTTCGAATCTCGCGGCTGGGTTCAACGCGACTCGGCATTTCCTCTCGCGGCGTGCAACGATCTCCGTTCGTGGAACGCTCGAGGTCGAGACTCGCGCGAGTCGGAGAACGAGAGTCGTGGG